ATACTCTGAAATGGCATCTAGAAGGAGAACTCCTCACTTCCCAGAGGGGCAAGGAGGAGGGGAGCTCACTCTTGCCATGCCATTTGCTCTTAAAATGTGTAGTAGCCATAACTATCATAATTGTCTTGAGGAAGTTAGAAAAAGAAAGGTAGCAAGTGAGACTTTCCCCCTGGTCAGGTTTAAAAACACGCATGCAGTTTACAAGTTATAATGGAACAGCATGGGTATTCTCCGCCCCCTAAAAGCTTGCTAGAAGGCGGGCTGGGTGTGTGTGTGTGATGGGGGAGAAGGTGAGGGCTGCAGTCCCAGCTGTGCAAAGTTCAATGAACCAAGCTGGGCTGGGAGCTAAAAAGAGAAAACACCAATGGAACCATTATGTCCCAAATTTAACTATTCGAGAAGAGAAGGGGAAATTTTAATTTGTTGTTAAATGTTATTTGAATACGCTAAATAGCACCATAGTAGCTGCTTTTTAAAAACCTTATATCTCTCCAAATGGATTCTATTTATAAACAGGAAGGTTGTAAGATCTTCCAAGTGATTTAATTTTATAACATTCTCAATCTTATGAGTATCTATAGATATTACAATTCTTTTATTTTGGGAACTTTTTATTTCTAAATTTAGGCATAATTTGATTACCTATTTAGCTCAAGGTAGCTTAAAAATAATCACCTTTTGCATGTAATTATCCTGAAGTAATTAAGCTTTCTCCTAACTGTATTAGTTGTAAAAACACATTGCACCATCATTCAAATAAACAGTGTTTAATTTTGAAGATAATTTTTTACAAATTTATTAAATATTAAATAATTTAAGCAATTTTATTTTTCAACAAGTTTTTCCTCTTGACATATTGAGGTATCACATTAAAATACATTATAGCTAAATGTTCTACAATATTACTGCTAAATCAACAGAAAACCAATTGATCTTGAGGAAAGGTTAATTAATTTGGGTTACAGGTCTCCTACTTTGTCCGCATTGACAGGAATTTGTATCGATCGCAGTTTTTTTTTTTTTTTTTTTGCAAAGAAATTTAATAAGCATTTTCATGTAACTGAGATCAATTTTTAAAATGCCAAAACAACAAGGTTTTAACATTTTATCACTACGGGAATTATTGTCTGTTATGGATCCTGAGGAAAAAAAAATTATATTTTCAGTAAAATCTGTCAGGTATCCATAGTCTTCTGAAAAATCAAAACATAAGTTAAAAACCTTAATAGGATTCTGTTGGTTTTCATCTCCTAACAATTCTGGCCAGTTTATTCTGCTATGCCGGGGATCACCGAAGGGACAATGGAAATACAATTTTATCTTTGACTTAAACACTGTGTTAATTCTCTTGTGGAAAACGAACTGAGCTGCCTCCTACTTGCGTACACTTCTGAGCTGTTTCGTTTCTGCTGAATAGAACTGGTGAGTTTCTCTTCTTCCCTAGCTTTGGTTTTTCTCTCCCCCCTTTGGCTTTTTAAAATCGCTTTAAAAAATGTTCCAAACCTGCCGCTTCCAAATGCAAAGTGGAAGTAACAATTGAAGGGTCCCTCCCCAGCACTCACTCCCCAAACATTTTTTCCTCCTTTTAAAAAAAATATGTTTGCTCGTGGCGTTGGCAGTGGATCCGAGGGCCTCCGGAGCTTTACACTAGGGTCAGGAGGAAGACTTTCTATCCACGAGCCCTCCCTCGCCTCTGGAGACCCCTCCCCCACCTCGGGCGAAATTCCTAAGTAGGACAAGCAGGGGGCACCGCCGCTGAGCCCTGAGCATCCCCTTTCCGGCCTTGGGCCGCAGGAGCATCCGAGGTGAAGAAACCCTGGAACTCCTCCACGAAAATCGGGGGGCGGGGGAAACCGGAGGGGCGCTCCCTGGAACCACAGATGTTTTCCTCCTGGCCCAGGGGCGCCGCGCCCCAGCCCCGGGCGTTCAGGCATTTGTGTGTCCCGGTTTCCGAGGAAGGGATTACGCAGCGGGAGCGGCCGCGGCAACGCAGGCCGCTGGGGCCGCAGGACGGTGACGAGAAGCCCGGACTTCTTTGTTGACTTTTAGGTCTCTGGCTCAACAGAAGATTTATTCGCTAGGCAGGGAAAATGCCCAAACAATGAAGAACTAACTGCACTTGTCATCCTGAGACGCTTGCGGTCTTGCTCTTTCCCCCCTTCCCCAGAAACCTGCTGCCCGAGTCCCGACGCACGGGTCACAGATCGCGTCGCCCAAAGGCGGCGGAGAGCGCAGTCTGACAACCCTGTGGGAAGCCACCGGGCGGGCAGGAACTGAGCCTGCAGGCACCTCTGTTCCCAGGCCAGACTCGCTCCTCAGGACCCTGGCGCTGGCGTCCCAGGAGGTCTCCAAAGGCTCTGGGCACCTTCCACCCGCAAACCCAGAAAGGAAAAAAAAAAAAATCTGCCAAGTAAAAGATCAAGAGCTAAGGGCTACTGGAACCTGGTGGGGCGAAGACTGTATGTAGATACTGCTAGTGTGTTGAAGGGGAAGAAGGGAACGTCACCAAGGGGATGGCACAAAACTCAGACGCTTTAGGTTCAAGGGAACTGGGGGACAAACCAAATGCCGCGGCCCGAGCTCACGCATGTATGTTACATTTGGAATTTGAATTTTCCATGACTTGTTTACTCGCCATATAACTACGAATAACTTAAGATTCAAAGCTTTTTTCCTCTCTTGGGTTTTCAGCGTCCTTCCGAGGCCTCCAAATTAAGTTTCGAAATGACTTAAACCAGTAATTTATTTTTTCCCTTCCTCCTTTCATTAGTTGAAGAGAGCGGAGATTTCTGGATTTTTCTCAAGTGCTATGTGGCGTCCCTCTCTCATCTGGGGAGGCCATTAGGAGATAATTAAGCGACTCGCCACAGCTCTTTTTATCTTGTCTGCGGTTATGGAGTGGTGCGATCAAAGTAAAGGCTGTCCAAGTTCAAGCCCTGGTGAGGATGGAGTTCATACACAAGCGCTCAGGCAGGCCAGCCTCTACTTGGGCCGGTGGTGTTATTGTTGATGTCAATCTGAACAAGACTTACAAAGAAATAGGTGGACTGGAAAGTGAGCCTACTATCAAAGGAGATTAATGATTTTGTGATCCCAAGCAACTAGGGGTGTGAAGTTGCATTTCAAATCTTCTTAGAAGGCAAACAAATCATCAGATTTAAGATTCTGAGGAGCGATATTTTTACAAACGGTATTTTTTTAAAAAAAAAATCTTCACAAAAACAAAATAGCTACCCTGAAATATCCTGGTGGCTCAAAACTTACCCTACAGAAGTGAATTAACTCCCCTCCTCTCTCCAAAGCTGCCAGGATGGCTAAGTTTTGTTTCTCTTTTAATGAGAATAGGGTTGAAGAGTTCCTGTTACAGACAACTTAATTTTATCAGACACAGCTGATATATTATTCTCACTTGAATATTCTCTGATAAGGGGAAAAGTATACATTGGGGAAGGTGGAAAATTAGCAATATATGATTTCACAGTGCAAAAACTCAAATAAAACACACACACAAAGGCTGTGCAAGAAATTGGAGTAAACCTTAATGGAAATAAAGAATTTTTAAAATCTCAAATTTTGGATTATTTAAATCAGTCTGCCTGCCCACTTTAATTTCTTTCACTGCCTTTTAATGACCGCACGCTCATTTAAATCATAGATGAAACAATTTTTGTTTTACATAATTTTCCTGTTTGTCATTCATATTGTTTCAAAGTTTGAAAAGTATTATATTCAGAAGATCCGCTGTGGATTTAGTCAAGTGAAGGAAAATGAGAGAAATCCTTTTTTTGTTAACATTTGATTTATTTAAAGTCCTTAACTGCAAATGATCAAGAACATATTCCACGGCTTAAAATATGGTATTATTTTTTGTTATTTAAATCAAAATATTTTAATTACAATCACATTGATAAAAATTAACATTTTAATTGGAATTTTAACCATCATTTAAAGCAATTTCGGCTGTAAAGAAAAAGAATAAACCATGCAATAAATTAACATTGAGAAGGCAAAAAGGAATAATAATGAAACCCGTCTGGCTATACTAACACCATATCCAACTGTGGAAAGTGCATTAACACTGGATGAAACAAGCACACGATGGCAATAATTAAAATGGCCACAATCAATACGATTTTGGAATCTTGGACCAATTTTTGAAATACAGCTCCCTATTAACTTCTCTCTTTTCCAACATTGTGATATTCTGTTTTGGTGGGAAAATATCCTTTAAATGGTGTACATACACATAAGATAATTTTATGTTATGTGACCTCAGAATGACATGACCATGGCATTCTGCTAATCAAGGAGCAGAGTTCTTGACAAGGGCAATTCCTGAGGAATTGATTCCTAGGCCCCAGATATGGGGAGAGAACAAGAAGGGTAGGGTCCTTATAACTTCTTGGTCAGGCAACTCTTAACAATGTAGAATGTATATTACCTACCTATTAACTTCTATATGTTATGTAAATATATGGAGAATGTCTACATATCTGAGCATAATTAAGTCCATAGACAGTATATATGTATTTCATTTAAAGTCAACTGCTTTCTGGATCAGAAATGTAAGCTGAAAAACAAATGGCTCTGATGTTTATATTCTGTTTATGTTTTGTTGCATAACTGCTGTAGTCTTTCAATACTTTCTAGAGTCCCTGGTGTCTACTTGTTTCTTCACCATTTCAATTCTTATGGTTAAGAGTATTGCCACGGACCTGTAAACTCGTGCGCTAGGGTCAGATAAGGAGGGGAGAAAAAGCACAAACAAATATTTTACAAACTTGACCATCTTTCTTTTTTGTTTTTGTTTAAATATACCCTGCACAGACTAGAATGTGTCTGGAAGGGAAAGAGGGAAGAAAGGGAAGAGGGCAAGGAAGAAGGAAAATTTTATATATACACTTGTGGATCATTAAACTTCGAAGGAAAAATTTTTGTTGGTGCGGGGTTGGTAATAATATACACAACGAGTTTTGAATACAATAATAAAGTAACAGTCCTTTCCATTGGGGGAAAATTGTGCACGAAAAATTAAAATAGTTGGGATTTTATTATGCTGTTGTTGGGTGTGTGTGGTTTTGTTTGCTGTTGTGTTTTTGTTTTCTCTCACTGCTACCAGCATGGCCATGCAGACAAACCCCCAGTCCCGGAAGCTAGGAAGTGTTTAGGACGGGTCTGGAATACACACCTTGGTAGTAGGCCGGCTCCAGGGCTGAGGGCTCGATGGGGCTCCTCGTGGCCACAGAGGCGCTGCCAAGGGGCAGGCTGGCGGGCAAGGTGGCGCCGTAAGGTGAGTACTGCAGTGCCTGCTCATATGCCTTGAAGTCCAGCTTGTGCTGCTGCTCCGAGGAGGACATGAGGTTGTTGATGGAGAAGGGGTGGTTGAAGGAGTAGTGGGGATCCCCTTTCAGGTGCATCTGAGACTCGTGGGGTGCTAGGCCATGCGCTGGATGAGAGGGGGGCACAGATGCCAGGGCCCCAGGCCCGGAGCTTATGGGGGGAGCCGACGAGGAGGCTGGAGTCTTCAACTCCGAGGCGCCCCCTGTCGCCGTCGCCCCGCTGTGGTCCAGAGTCTGGGGGCTGGCGGCGGGCCCAGGGGCCGGCGCGCCCTCTAGCTGGCCGGCCTTCCCGTGCACACCCCGATGAAGAGGGGAGTCGGCGCTGGGGTTACCCACGCCAGAGGGGTCCTTGCGGCTTTCAGGGCCGCTCTTGGAGCCGCTGGCCCCACTCCCTCCACCGGCCCCTGGCTGCTTCTCGCATTTGAAGCGCTTCTGACGGCGCAGGTAGCAGCCGTTCTCGAACATGTTGCCGGAGTCCGGATGCAGCGTCCAGTAAGAGCCCTTGCCTGGCTTGTCCGGGGATCGTGCCACTTTGACGAAGCAGTCGTTGAAAGAGAGAGAGTGGCGGATGGAGTTCTGCCAGCGCTGCTGGTTCTGCCGGTAATAGGGGAAGAGGTCCATGATCCACTGGTAGATCTCGCTCAGCGTGAGCATCTTGCTGGGCGCCTGCTGGATGGCCATCGTGATGAGCGAGATGTAGGAGTAGGGCGGCTTGGCGTGTGGGTAGCTGCGCTTGAACGTCTTGGCGTCGCCGCCTCCGCCCGCGCGGCTGCGGCCCAGGTTGGACGGAGCGTACGCCATCGGGCTCATGCACGGGTTCATGGCGGCCGCATAGGGGCCCAGGCCATTCATGGAGGCCGCCGGCTGCGCGCCCATGGCGCTCATGCCACCTGGACTCAGCGCCGTCCCCATGGCAGTCACTCCTGCTGCCGTCATGCTGTTCATGGCGCCCGCTGAGCCCCCTGGCATGCCGGTCACAGCGCCGGGACTCAGACCGGCTCCCAGGCCCGGGTTAGCGTAGGACATATTGAAGGAAGCCGGGGTCATGTTGCCGCTCGTGGTCATGGTGTTCATGGTCATGTAGGTGTTCATGGAGTTCATGGAACCTAGGCCTGAGTTCATGTTGCTGACTGGGACGGAGGAGTAGGCCTGGAGCAGAGACAGCGAGTGAAGAGGCCCCGAAGGGCGGGGTTAGTGATAGGCTGGGGGCAGGGGGGGGCAGCAGGCCAGGGGCAAACTCCTGGTGGCGGGGGTGGAGAGCATTTCTAAAAAGTATGGGAGCCCCCCACCCTGGGCAAACTGTTAGGCGCCCTTCCCAGACCGAGCAAAGATGTCTTGCGCGGCAGGAGGAAAATCCTAACGCAGCAGGCATGAAAGACAAGCGCTCACAGAAAATATGTCCCCGGGAAGATGTGTAATCGCCTTACACACCAGACTCAGGGGTTGGCTTCCAGGGCTGCTTCACTGCCGCCTCTATCCACCCCAGGCAGTATACCAAGTCTCCACCCCACACCAGCCTCTGGCCTTTGAGGCAAATGGTCTTTAAAAACTCCGAAAATAGAATTAATCTCTGACCCTCCGCTTCTTCACGTCATCCCAAGGATCCAGTGGGTTCCCGGCCCAGCCCCCGCTGGGCGAGCAACAGGGCGCCAACTCTGTGCCCACCTCACCCAAGGCTAGCAGGCTCCGCTTGACTACATAGCAGTCTTGATTGTGCTAGATGGCTGTTAATGAAACTCTTCTTAAAATACAGCAAATCATCCAGGGCCATATACCCCTACCATCATTCATTTTCCTATAAGAAATGGCTTTATTGTTTTAGGAGTTTTTGCCAAAATGATGCATTCCTTTTTTTAAAAAAAAAATTATATCTAGAAGCAGTGTACTTGTACACATCTACTTGTAGCAACTCTAATATTTAAAAAGGAAGCATACTCAGAAATTATATAGGCTTCGGCAAATAAAAGTGAAATCAGATTAACAGAAGGGTATTGCAGGGGTGCATCATAGTATCAACCTTCTACATACGTTTGACATGAGTTTACGTGTATACGTCTGCAAACCATTTAAAAACTTGCATTGTTACCTATTTCTAGCCCTTTAAAGTGTGAAAATGTTGGTGACAATTTGTTGTAATAATCATCTAGGTTTTTTTCACAAACCGATATGCTGCTGATGACCATTTCAAAAGCCTTGCCTTTGAAACTTCATGAGTAGTTTTGAAATTTTTCCAAAATTAAACTCTACCTACTTTCTCTTAATGCTCTTCTACTTCCTAATTCTCAGTTTCAACATGTAGGAAAGCTCTTTTACTAGAGGGCTTAACTGGTGGATTGAGATGACTGCATCAGAATTAAACCTCTGGAAGAGTTCTGAGCTCCTTTAAAAAAACTCTTTATCAATAGTAATTTGGGAATGAAGTGGGTATTTTAAAATAAAGAACCCAGAAATACTAAAACTACTTATCTGATAATTTAATAAAGAACAATAAATTCCTCAAATTTATGTTCATCAGCAAATATAACTCCATTTGAAAACATAAGAGATGAATAAATAGATTTAAATAGGAATACCCTGTAAACTATGGCATTCAAATAAACTTGAATGAATGTGAAAATATATCTATATATAGAAACTAATTGCTATGAAAATGTTTTCTGATTATATATATGTATATATACATATACACACACATAAATATATGTTTTGTCCACCGCCGTCATGTGGTGGGGTTTATTTACTTGGGAGTTTATTTTCTTTTCCTTTTCCCAAGATAATCCAAGGCCCAATCCAGTAAGCGTTTTTAAGAATGGTAAATAAACTTTTGGGGGGCAACTGCAAACTGTTTTCGGAAAAATACTTTTAATAGGGGGTGATCCTGCCTGCACCTGGTTTTCCTCTCAATCCTTTTGTGCACATTGTAAAATAAAGCCCGTGAACGGGCCACCAAGGGGACAATGAAGAGAAACAGGTTCTTGGCCCCGTGTTCTGGAAAAGGATTTGGCTCGCACTAGCGCCACCCAGCGGTTCTAGAGTAGAATGAGCTCACTTCTCCCCCAAACAGGGCTTTTGAAGAAGTTTTACAAAATGTAGGAATCGTTTCATTATTAAGACGCCCAACTTTGCTGCACAAAGCGCCTTTATCAGAATATGTCCGCAAATCAAACGGTGGGACGCAGAGACTGCCCTGAAGGCAAGCTCTGGATTTCTCAGAGTTACTTCCAACTAGTGCCGGCGGCACCCGAGGCGCCCAGGGCCGGGCTCCAGCTCCCGCTCTCTACAGGGCAGAGGCAAGTGCTTCCCAGAGCGGATGTTTTCACAGCCCGGACTTTCCTAAAACTCTTTTGCCCGCTGCGAGAGCAAGGACCCAACAGGGCAACTGGACCGACTCTGAGGCCCGTCCAAAGCTGGGCCCGGACCACACCAAGCAGACGGGCAGCCGTGGCACCGATTAGGCGCCACCAGCCCGCCAGCCACACTGCCCGTCCCGCGCCCACCTCGCCCCGGCCTCTGGGCTCCGGAGACGCCCTACCGGCCACCAGTCTCTCACCTCCTGTGTGTCCGCGTAATAGCTGTTCCAGTCGCTGCTCTCATGCCCTTCCATCTTCACAGTCCCTAACATCCTGGAGCAACCCTGCCCGATGCAACCATCCAGCCCAGTGCGAAGCGACGGGCAACCGCGCGGCGCGGGGCGGGGGGAGGGGAGCCGAAGC